AACACCACCGAAACGGTGGATAACTGGGGGGGGGGATACCGAAAAATAACACGGTCTGTCGCTATTTTCGCCGGAACCTGGCTGATGCTAGACGATGAACTCCCCCGAGACCGCCTCGCGCTCCACAGCCATCGTATGCGCCCCAGAAGGAACGGTGAATCGCCGATACTTCCCAGAACCGGCAACGACGGAGTGCAACCCTTCGCCGAATGGCTGCCCATCACAGGACCTCATTGTGCCGTCTGCTACGGGCACAAAGAGGTACGCCAAAATACCCACCGGCACTGTGACCTGTTGCGAGGCCACTGTCTCTCAAGTTGGGCAACAACCGCGAATCTTGAGTTGGAGCCTTGTCCTATAACCCTCCGAGCTTGCCCGTCGAAACACTCTTTTTACCGGATTACGCTAGAAGAGACAAAAAGGAACATTTCCTCATTGGCCTCGACCGTCAGCGAAGGCTTTCTTGACCAGCTGAACTGCACAGCACCAAAGTCCGTGGCGACTGAGGCATTCCTTGGTGCACAATGCGGCAGAGCGGGAGTGAAAGAATCTTTCAAAGGCTCCAATGTGTTTTTGCTCCTTTGCCGAATGTTCGAAAAGCAAGTGCATCTAAAGGGCACTTGGCTAAGCTGCCCAACCACCATCTTTACACGATGGCCATGAGACACCGAAATGCCTGCCATGGATGCGGCGCTGCCGCTAGGAGTGCTAAGGACCGATAGAATTGATAGTTTTCGGGAGGTCTGTTACCTCTTGGAGCAAAGCTCCGCTGGAGAATCCAAATCCATTCTTCTAAGCTTGCAGCGCAGTTACAGGTTGCAGTATCACATTTCTGTTACAAAGCTTTGACCGCGCCTGCCACTCGAGCAGTCAAGTAGTGGCCGACGGACGAGTACATATGGTGCGCCCTGGAATTCATGCCTGGCCCCCGATACGGGGCATCGGGTACCTCCCACATACCTGTCGCGTACAAGGCCATGGAATCATCGAACATTGCAATCCAACATGTTCACTGTTGCAGCTGGAGTACTCTCATTCGCACGCTCGTAGTCGTTGAAATACCTGATGCTGCTGCGCAGACAGCATCTTCAGCACATGATGTTCCCCATCGGCTCTTGCGCATCACATGCGGCACTCATCACTGCTTGACACAATGGCTCAACTTCCCACAAGACGATGTCTCATCTAAGCGACATGTATCCGTATGATGGGTAGTCCTGCAGCACCGCCGAAATTGCAGGCAATGCAGCTCTCCATTGCGAGAACCTGCCCTTTTACACCAAGTCTCCTTCTTTTGCAACATGGAAAGCGCCGTCGCTGCAGCCCCAATGTCATGTAACACGTCGAACAAGAAGCGAACGGTAATAATGCCTTGCCGCCATCGCATTCTTCCAGTGCATGTCATCGTCAACTCGGCCACAAGCTGAGTGCCCAGCCACCAGTCCAGGTGTTTCCATGGTCTGCTATATACCTCGAACAGATTCCCTGCCGACTTGAACCCGAAACACGAAACCCCAGACACTACTTGGAGGATCATGGGACTTAGTAAGTATGGTTATAAGTCCCCTAATTGGGGTTATAAATATAGTTACCCTAGTCATAACCCTACTTACTAAGTCCCATTATCCTTTAAGCAGGCAAGGCACTTCAAGAGCCCTTGCGAGACAGCTTGGAGTTCTGTGGCAGGGACAGCGCCGATGGCCAAGGGCAGCACATACGTGGCCATTACACCGTTTGCGTAGGTCTTGTTCACCGGATTGTAGTAGCCTGCACATCACCCAGTGGCACAGCTGCAAGCAGGTTTTCTGGCTGTGGGATATGCTTACCCAGTGACCCAAAGGCCTTCGTGAAAGGCGCTCAGCATGCTCTTGTGCCAGGTGATCATCGATTCTACATCTTTGGCTGCTGCACCTCCGTGTAGAGTGGTTACGAAGTCCCCGCGCCCTATGCCACAAGTCTCAAAGGCTGGCACCGGCACCTCCCAAGGCCGTGCCCAAATCGACAGCTTGCTGCACACTCCGAAGCATGGACACAGCAGATGTGAAGCCAACTGGAGGTGTTTCAGTGGGCTGGCCACCAGGGGTCCTGTTGGAGGCGACGCACTTGAGCAGTGACCCCCCCAAACAATGGCGCTTTTTTCAGAGTCTCCTTGGGGGAGGGCACCAGTCGCCGTAGGACTGAGGCAGTTTTGTGACGTTCCTGCGAACCGAAACATGAAAGCTACCCAGAGACTCCAACATCCCTTAATTAAGGAATATACCTTAATTTATAGTAGGATCCTTAATATCATTTAAGGAATATGCCTTAATTAAGGAATATTGGAGTCTCTGGGTACGCATGGCACACCAGCAACTTCCTTTTCTGCAGGTAAGTCTCCCTGCGGCCGTGTACGTGGCGAGGAGGCTGTTGACATGAGCCTTCACGCCGTCCCAATGCTTCTGCGCCGGCTTGAGGTCCCCATCCTCGAGTTCGTGTTCAGAGCGCTAGCATGCTCAAACTCAGAGACTCCAATATCCCTTAATTAAGGAGTATACCTTCAATCATATTAAGGATCCTACTATGATTTAAGGAATATTCCTTAATTAAGGAATATTGGAGTCTCTGGAAAGCCGTGTCCCATGTCCTTCTGCCAGAGCTGCCAGAGGTTTTCCAGGAAGGCCGCACTCCAGGACAGGTCCGCCGGTCTCCCCCCGAATCGCTGGAAGGGTACCACGTCCGGCAAGGACCCATCTGGGCCCATTTCATCCACCATGGAATCCAGGAATGCGGACACCTGACCCCAAGACTTCAAAAGCTCAAGACATGACTCCTGAGCCCTAGGGTTTAGGGTTCAGGGTTTAGGGTTTAGGGTTTAGGGTTTAGGGTTTAGGGCGTCCCAGTAGCCATGTTATTGTAGTCCCAGTGTGCCAGGAGTGATGCTGCAGAGAGGGATGCGTCACCCATCCAGCCCAACCGCTCGTCGCGCTGAGGACAATCAGTTGGCACCTCTCAAAGCGAGGTGCAGATGGGTAGTCTTCAATATTAGGGTCCCGTTTGGGGTCCTCTTATAAGGGTGCCGTACTATATTGGGGACCTAAAAAGGGACCCTAGTTTAGAGAACTACCCAGATGTGTAGCAGACCCTCTGCAAAGCAGCGCTGCGGGCCTGCATCAGGTTTGAGCGCTGCACGCCCTTGGAGCCCGTGTGGATCGCCTGCTCGGGACAAGCCCCGCGAAATTAAGTTGGCACGGCATCTGCATGGCTAGGAAAACCTCGCTTGCCCAGAGACTCCAATATCCCTTAATTAAGGAATATACCTTAAATCATATTAAGGATCCTACTATGATTTAAGGAATATTCCTTAATTAAGGAATATTGGAGTCTCTGGGTGCTCTCCCAAAAAGGCCTGCAGGACCTCGTCGGAGAGGGTCACGTTGACTCGATCCGGCAGCGCAGTGTTCATCACCTCGAGGGGTCGGCGGAGTCGGCGGAGTGGTGCCCTTCAAGCAACTCTCAAAAACCAAGAGACTCCAATATCCCTTAA